CTCTTTTGTGAATACTTTCGTAAAAACGGGAAAATAAATCCATTCGGCTTCAGTTTCAGATAAAAATAGAAATCTCATGGCTGCTTTCGACAGACAAGAGGAATAAAACCCTGGGGGAAATACAGAGGTTATCCAGCGTCGTTAAACAAATTATCAAAGTGGTACAGAATAGAACTGACTGTGGATACTTACTGTTCCATAGCCTCCTTAATCTTTCCACTGGTTTCCAACTCTTTGGCATAAGCATAGTGAGTAGCTCGTAGAGAGATTCGGTTATGAGTAGCTGCTACTTGTAACGCCTTTTCCCACTGTCCCAATGACTGGTATAGTCGAATCACTAGATCCCACCGACAGCACTGGGTGAAGAGACGTTCAGCTTCGTCCTATGCGGTAGAAGGTGGGAAGAGAAGGCAGGAGGACATTCAATGTGTGCGCTAAGAATGAACTGTATGTGAAACAATCAATTCATCAAATAGACAGCATGAATGCGCTTTATAGATCTCTCTTCAACAGTTTGGTACATAGGGTATTCTATTGAAGGTACCAAATAGAAGCGGTGTGAGAAATCCATCTCTGTGAGAGATAGTCAAACGTACCAACTAGATACGTGAGTTATGATATATATACATATATATATATATATATAACACCAATACGGCGCCAAAAGTAACCATGGGTTAACGAAAAATATGGGTACAGAAGTGGGGAAAACAAAACGGTCAACTTGAGGGAATAAAAAATCTTTTGTTTGATTACTGCACGCAGTTTTGAGTATTTTTGTTTTTGTTTATTTTTGCACACAAGAGAAGATACATTCACAACACTGACCTCTGTTTGATGCCATATCCCGCAGTGTCTCCAATCAAAGACAATCTGAATCTTTGGGGTCCCAGCCGGGGAACCGGGAAACTCCAATGGAGACCAGATCCGAGCACAGTCTCTTTGACCTTCTGCGCCACGTCATAGCCTGTCCACCTCGTTGTTTCTTCCAGTCTGCGAATAGTGTACTGTGTGGCAGACGTTGCTTAGGCATTCGTAGGACATGCCCCAGCCACCTAAGATAATGTTGTGAAATTATTTTGCTCAAAGGAAGACTATCTGATCCTAGAACCCTTCGCCTGACTTCATCGTTATTCACACGATGCTCCCACCATACGTGGGTGACGTTGAGCAGAAAACGGGTGTCGAATACGGATAGTCGTTGGACATGATCTGCTCGGAAAGGCCAAGTCTGGCAGCCATAGAGCAACAAGGTGCGTACCGCTGCACAATACACGCGCCCTTTCAGCGAATGGGTTATGTCGCGACGACGACAGAGATGTCGCAGATTATCAAACGCTAATCTAGCTTTGACCACGCGTTGAGAGATCTCCTCGCCCACACCTCCGCCAGCCGTTATGCAACTACTACTTCCATTACCCAACGAAAGTGCAGGAATGAATTCCTGCCAATCTTTTAAGAACACTTTGCACTCTGAAGGTGCAAAGAACATACCAAAGCGAATAACCTCAATTGCCAAACGGTTTAACGACTCCTGAATTGTTGGTGCTTTGTCACCGAGTAAGGCAATATCATCATTTTATCATTGTGATAGATGAATTTATTTATTACCAAAATCTCCGACAAATTTTATTCAGCCCCGGATATGGATTCGAACAGACAAAAACCTTCAGCTGGTTGAAAGAAACACGTACCGGCATTCCCAACTGAAGAGCCAGTTCACCTGCTTGGGCTTCTGGTTCTGGTTCTCGTTGCCTGGCTTCTCGAACCATCATGGCAGCCATCGCATCGCCCATCTTGCCCAGACAAACGCGAGCCACATCCAGACGACATGTACTCACACACATTCGAGCCATATTCTAATGAATGAGAGTGAAATAAAGTGAGCTAGTTTGCAACTATCCTGAAGAGCAGCAATTAGAACGACTGTAAAATACATTTACCAATTACAATCAGACTGAGAAGGAAAAAACCAACCAGTTTACTGAATCCACGTGAATACTGTGCTTGAAAAATGACAACTCATGGCAGAATGTGTAAGAAACCTGTGCACAACGAAACAAGTATATTTAAAAGGGCGAAACATTGCAAAACAAGTTCAAGTTATTTTAGTCGTCTGTATTTTTCAGAAAGGCGATAAAAAGGAGAGGTATAAAACTCACATAGGAAGAGTAAAAAAATAATTCTATTGTAAAGGTAGGTTTGGCACATATTTATTTCTAGAAATGGATGTTTTTACATCAAGTTAATGATCACAAATAAAATCCTGAATATACCTGTATACGCAAAAGTAATATACAAGGTGGGGTAGTTAGACAAAAAAGTAGTCACTGTATGACAAATTAAGGTTCAGCTCAGTTCGGTTCTTACGACCATTAACTCTGCACTTCCGTGCGCCGGTTTTGGTTGCCCATTTGGATAAAATAGGAGAATGAAGATTAGAATGTTGAGAGCAGATTCAAGCAGAAGATTGCGCATTTGCATAGACTGAGGTTACAAGAATAATGAGTAGATGCAAGAGCGCCGCTGTTTGCGACACCCAGCCATATCACTCAGTGTCTCTAACCATCGGTGAACATGATCTCTAGGTTCCCAGCCAGGGACCTATGTGACCCAGCTTCCTGATCAGGGTTTTCGTACCCTCATGCCCGGGTGGCTGAAATCATTTTTTGGGGGTTTCAAAACGGAACCTTGGGTTTAGTCTAACTCGCAAGGTAGGCAGGTCAATGTGTGGAAATCAGAGTCTATGCAGAATCGGTAGGCAGTTAGTTCGGTCACACGGAGAACTGGGATAGGTGTGATAGATGGAAGCAGTTTTATCTCTATTGTTTTATTTAATTTTCCCTATTGGATATATTACATTGGATTCTCAAACGTTCTTAGTTGTCTTCTGATATTCCTGGAGTGTACGGTGAAACACAAAATTGTTGCTATCCATGTTATCTACTGTTTTTCATTATAACTTTTCAATCTTTTTAGCACTTCGTTCTGTCTCCCAATCTGCCTTTCCCCTGTTTCTGTCATGATTGCTGTGGCGTTTGCATCATTCTTGTCCGCAAGCCGGTGATATATATATATATTTATAACGGATATATGAACTGGAGCGATATAGCAAACAATAGTTACAAAAGTCCGACACACATGTTTTGGATTCATGAAAGNTTTGGTGTCATCAGCAAACTCTCTAATGGAAAGGCATCCCAGTGAACAACGTATCTCATCAACTCACTTGCCATACAGCAGGACTTTTTATTAGCTTCATCGCTTTAAATGCGGCATCCATTTCGCCCATTGTCAAATAGTAGCTAAACGCCAGCATTGCTTCTCGCGTATTCGCATCGGTCCATTCGAGATCGAGAAAATCACGCATGATACGTCGATGGATATAGTGGATTTTCAATCCGGTATGTCCTCGACGCTCCGATCCGGTCGAGTCCGATTGTGTTGGATTGACAATTGCATCCGACTCGATTGATCGCTTTTCGATCAATTTATCCGCAGAAGAAGCAGTTTTATCAGTTACATTATCAATCAAATCGTGTACGGTACCATTTAAAGCACCGTTCTCATCTCCGACTAAACGTCTTCCCGATGCATTGACCATGTCGCGTCTGCGTTGACCTTGCTCGGTGACAAGGCGATACACAAGATCACACTAAGGACGTAAAGGACGACAGTTGAGTCAGAGGAGTGCAAGGATGGGGTGATTTCAAAGTGAAATACCATGGATTTAGAGGAATCATTCCATGGGATTGATTACTGCTCCGGAAACAGCTTACCTTCATGTGGTCATAATGACATTATGATCTATCGTATGAATTTCTGAGCAAGGTATAGTTCTCAGAGTCTATAGCATTTAAAATTCAAATGAATACATCAACCGCGGTCGACTGATAAACCCACAAGTAAATTGATAGTTTGACGGTCACACCGGGACTATCGGACTAGATCTATCCAAAAATCTTTATTTTTGTAGAAGTTACCGGAAAATAAAGAAGAGGAGTGGATTAGTCGCGTTCACTTTTCGTCCATTAGGCCAGCGACCATTGGTGGAGGTTCAGTCAAGTGTTCACGAAACTGAAGCAATTGGATTTTCTTTAATTGCGCAAAAGTAAGGCAGATCGATAAATGATAACCAAATTTCTGTCCCAATGTACGCATGAGCATTTGCGAATCACCCTTTTTCCTTGAATTTTGATTGATTGTAAAAAGATTAGTATAGTTTTGTTCTTCTAGCAGCAGTGGCACCACGAATAGCATATAACGTCCTCACGTTTGCATGTTCTCTGACAGCTTCTGTCCGGCCGCATTGTATATTGTCATGAAAACTATAAAGCATCATTATGTTTATATTCCAAATAGAAAGAAACGGCACCGATGAAGGGAGATGAATGAAGTTGTTAATTTCTTGCTAGCGTATCTTTCACTAATCATAATTCAGTGAGTGATTGAATATTATAGATGTCTTTTGGTATATTGTTGTGTGATAACCCACAGTGGTCAAATGGTTAAGTTCATGAATGCTCGGAGGTCGTGTTCGCACCCTGTCACCACTGCCTAGCATTCATGTGTTTATATCTCCAAACCACTGTTAACTGGTAGCGTCCCTGTTCCCGAAAATTCAGTGTACACTTGTTTAATACAGGAATAAAAATGAAGGAGTAGAGTTATATTATTCAGTAGAATGATTTGACAACGAGGTCAACATTTGAATATGATTTCAATCGATACAGAGTAATAAGAATAACGATAAAAATGTTGGTTCGAAAAGTATGCTTACGCGGACAGAGAAATAATAATACGGTACTTCGATTCCTAGAAGAGCACTGTATTGTATAGCCATAGGGAATTGTTCCTGAACCACGGGTTTGATTTGTTCCGCTCCAGTAAACACTGAGACAATTAGGGTTGATAGCTGCAATGCACAGAATGAAACTTGATTATAGATTAATAGCGTCTATTCCCTTTTATCATAACACAAATTGTAGAACACAATCTGTAACATTACCTTTGTAAAACAGTGCGGTTTAATTGGCGGTATGAAGTCGGTAATTTTGCTTGACTGACGACTTTGCACCCGAGTCAAATTACTGCTTGGGCTGGTAGAATGGAGTTGCAGTCGTAAATCTTCCTCAATCATACTGTTCGGGTTTTCGGGAGAGTCCGATTGCAACGGGTGTTTATCAAATCGTTCTGGGCCACTTCGTGTGCCTCGCTTGATCAACGGATGTTCCTTAGGAAGACCAGCCGCTTCCATCACTAGTAATCGTGATTCATACTGATCCCAGTAGTGTTTACGGGGCCAGCGACCTGTAAACGAAATTATATTTTTTTAAAAATGTACCGATTTGAGGAAAGTGATTAGGTTGTTCAGAAATGACCAAAATTGTTTATAATATTCTGGTTGCAAATAGAGGTGGCAGATAGATAGGATAAGAGGGACCATAAACCGACTCTGGATTGACATTTACTGTCCTGAAGTTGAAATGATAAGAGTGTTCTCAGACATTTAAACATAAAGACGAACGACGCATACTATCCACCACAGTTTACCAGCATACCAGAAGTAAAATCGTTCTACATTATTTCCAGTACTTATTTTTAATCACGTCCTTGAATGAACCTGTTAAATCATTTTATTTAATTGTTCTTGATTATTTCTCCATTTGTGGCTCTGATCCCTGGTCGATCGTTTCTATAAAAATTAAATCTTTTTAATGCAAATGTCATCTGTGTAGTCAATAATTTAACCGAAAAAATTACAAAACGCTTCGTTTGCAAATATGATGTCCGAATTTTTTGTCAACAACATCGGGGAGCAACATTCCTGTTATTTTCCCAACATGTCTGATGAAGTATGCACAGGAGATCACACATTATTGCGCTCCATTACTTCTTTATTCAAGCCGAGATTATTCATTGACCATCCTCCCCAGTATGGACTGATTAGTAAGAGATTGTGCTTGTCTAGGCAACAAAAAAGATGGATTATGGAAAATCATGTAGGGAAACAACTGAATGGTTTTGTTAGCCTTCTGTTTGTGACGTTAGAAAATGTTTTGCATTTCACTGACAGCATCTTCTGTTTGATTCCCACTGGGATCAATGTTTACTCAGAGCTGGGAACACAAACATGATTGAGATACTTGTACTTTGTTTGACGAGTTTTCTATTTACATGTTTTTACGTTTGCAGATGAGGAATTTGTTTAAAAATTGATGGTGGATTATAAAATTTATTGTGTATAAATAGGATAATTTAGATAGTTGAAACTTGATTAACGAGCTAATTAATTAGTAAAACTTTCAAATTAAATCACCATAACGGGTACTATTCCGTTGCGGTTTTGACTCTGATATATATATATATATACATATATATAGGAACAAGTAAATGGATGAACTGACAAAAGATTACCGGATACGCATGCCTGACGAGCGGCAAGAACCGCGAAACCGGTCGTTCAGACACTCACATACTACTTATTATCTAATATATACTGCGTCAAAAATATTTATTGAATAAAACATTGCGAATGCTTGATCAGTGAGTTCACGAGCACACTTAAACTTTAGAAAAACTCGCGATGAAACGCAAGCAATGCAATCAATTCCATTTGGAATACAACGCCTTTCAGCAGCGGGAACACACGTAAGCTCAAATTAGAGAATTATGATAAACTTTCGAAACACTACTCGTTGGGGAATATTTTGAGGGAACATTTGTTATCAGAATGAAAAAACTGAAGCGCGCTGATGGTTTGAAAAGTAAAACATTGGCCCAATGAAACGCAGCTCCTGTGTGCCATTGAAGCAAAAAATGGAAAAGTTAATCAGACTTCGGGTCAAAACGCATACGAACCTCAACCACCAAAAGCATGAGAGCTGCAAACGTTCCATTTTCAGATCGGGATTGACTAGATATTTTTTGGTTAATTGATTAGGTATATCAAAGGATATGAAAAAGCACTGATAATTATAGAATTAGTATCATCAAACTGGTCTACTGCTAATCTAGACACCCTGCTATTGAGACTGATTAAGCAACTTGCTTCGCAAATTCATTTTTTCACTCAGTCTTTGCTAAGGTGTCCGTTATGAACGAGTTCTAGTGCCACAGAAAGAGGCACACTTGGATCTGTGTATGTTATCGACGATCAAGTCAAGAACACCGGTTTATACAACTCAATCGGAATTGTTTTGTATCATCCCTAGACGTGCATTCTATGGTAAATTTAATCGTTGTTCGATAATCTAAACTGTGCAAAAGGTGAGAATGGCTAGTCAGGCTAGTTTTCCATCAACGAATATTTTCTTTCTGTCCTGTTCCTTATATGAGTGTGAACGCATATCACTTGTGTATCCGTTGTATTTGAAACGTGTCTGTTCATATAAGCGACTGTATTGGCTGCAGTATACATGTGTACAGATGGAGGCAAATCATTCCGGACAAAGGATGCAAACCTCATTCATGTTTTTTTATATTTCATTATGTTTTTGTTAAACGGCAGTACTGTGAGTACTGAAGGGAAAGAGTTCGCTTAACTACTGAACTATTCATAAAATCTAAATCTTAAAAATGTGGGCACTATGACCAAACGTACCTCCACATTCGCGTGAGTCTAAAAGTCCACCGATCAACGTGGTTTGACGTGTTAACTCACAACAATCAAAGTATTGCATTTTATCTTTCTCTATGTGATATATATAGATTCTTGTATCTGGGATCCATAGTTTATTTGTGCTTTTGAATCGATTTTCCGCGATTGGTTTTGGACCTTGATCACGAACTAATGGAGGCCGGGTTTTCGAATTCACAATAGGATCATCCCGTGTACTGGTTATTTTTGGCCATCTTGCATCACACACACTCCCGTCCGCCACGATCTCCACCGAGAAGCTGATTGCATCCCCTCTATTATTGATAGCCACATGCGCGATGCGGATCTCACGTAATGAGGCACTGGCAGTCATCAGTGTTTCTTGATTGGGTTTAATCTGTTCCGTTACAGCCCGACACTCATCCGGAGTGAGTACAGTAGAGAGAACAAGTTCAGTAAGCGATCTGGATGACTGAATCGCTTTGACTTCACTGGAACATGAGGAGCAAATAAGTTGTCTGTACATTTGTATATTAAAATAAATTAAAAAAGGAAGTAAAAAAGACATTTATTTTATTTTTAACAAGAAAATAAATGTGGGATCAATTGAGTGGGATGAATAAACGTTCGTGATTGATAGTAAAGTGATTTGAAAATAAACTAACGTAGAATGGAGAATGCTTAGAGTAATGTTGTGATAATCCAATGGCTTCAGATAACAATGGCTATGAAGCAATGCGTTACAGTTTCCCGATGACTAATAAGAAGCCGGTGCTTTGGACAAATCAAACACGACTGGAAGATTAGGCAGCNGCAGTTGTCCAACACATCAGTAAACTGCTGATTTATTCCAATAAACTAATTGCAAACTTCGTGACCTTCTTCTTTTGTCATTGTATCGGGAACTCTAACAGCTGATTGCGAGTATGATTCCAATTACGAGCTCAACAACTCGGAGCTCGCAACATGAACCCCCAAGTATTGTACACATAAGCCTGCATAACAGTCTGTGTGAAGCTGAGGAGTGGGNGTCAGATATTTATAATAGGACGCAATTACAATCTTAAGGTTTTCTTGTTCCAAGGGATATTGTCAGCTTAACAACTTCTTGGTGGGAAATTCCATATATTGTTCTGGGTAGCCTTCCTCCACCATTTTGTTTTTACCAATGCTGGAATTTGATACCCGCAAGCGTTTCAGTAAGTATCCGCTTAAAAAATTTAACAGTTGATACAAGAACGACGTGAGGTGGTACAGCGATTCATGTGGTGCTTATTCTAACGAGCAAAAGATTAACTTAGCGATTTTGAAACAACAACTCCTGAGGTTGCTGTTGGATGACAACATTAGCAGTGCCCAGATGGATGATATGAGTTCCGTGATATTTTATACACCGAAATCAAGTCTCCCCGAATCCGGTTATACTGCGTGGAATATAATCCCATCCGCATAGCTGGAAGAATGCCATGCTTTGACCATATTGCTAATATTCGTGGATATTAGTCTCTTACGAACACGTAGCCATGCACTAAGTTTCAGTTTCAGTTTGAACAACCATTAACCACGCATATTCGAGCGCCGGTTTTGGTTGCTGTCTTTTGGCTGCCCATTGGGATGAAGAATAGGAGAAGAAAGGAAAGTTGAAAGTGGAGTCGAAAAGAAAATGGAGAAGTTCAGTGGTCCAAGGGTGCAAAGAAATTGAGAAGATGCAAGAACACCACTGTTTACGACACCCAGCCATATCGCTCAGTGTCTCTAACCATCGGTTACGATCATCCCGAGGTCCCCAGCCGGGGAGCCTAACAGGACCTATGTGACCCAGTTAGGATTTTCATACCCTCGTGTCAGGTCTCAACTTGACCACCCTTGGCTTTTTTCCACTCGGTATCTGCTTCGGCGAACATCGCTCGCCGTGATAACCTATCTGGTGACATGCGTAACATAGTGGGCGACCGTATTTACCCAAAACTCTGCCCCTAACCTCAGCATTGCTCATCTGACTACCTCACCAGTTTCGTGCAGTGCTGTGTAGACAGCGGTGTTCAAACACCGACAGTCTGTTTTTATCTTGTTTTCTTAATGGCCAAGTTTCTGCACCGTATAGCAGGACTGGCCGAACTGTCGCGGCACACACTCGACCCTTCACAGACAGCCGGATGTCGCGACGGCGCCACAGATGTCTCAAGTTAGCAAATGCCAACCGAGCCCTCTGTATGCGAGCTGACACTTCATCCGTGATGCCTCCACCGGGTAAGATGTAGCTGCCCAAATAACAAAACTTATTCACCTGCTCTATTACTTCTCAAGTAAGAGTGAGGTTGGGTGCTGGACCAACCCAGTCTTGTAGCAACATTTTACACTTTGAAGGTGCAAAACGCTTACCGAATTTGGCTACACTGGCATTCAAGTTATCCAGAAATGCTTACAACTTACCTGGATCTTCACTTAGTAACACAATGTCGTCTGCGTACTCCAGATCAGACAGCCTGCCACCTGGAAGTAAATCGATGCCACTATCCTCACACGAGGATAGGGCTGTTTCCATAATCAGATCTATAACAAAGTTAAATAGAAAAGGAGAAAGAGGGCAACCCTGACGAACACCACTTTCCGTGGTGAACTCGGGAGAAAAAGTGCTGTAAGCCCGGACTAGACTTCGGCTATTAGTATAAAGCGATCGTAGTATTGAAATTAACTTCTCGGGCACACCTTTCAGAAAAAGGCAGCGCCAGAGTTTAGAGCGGTCGACTGAGTCGAAAGCCACTTTCAGATCTAGGAAGACAGAGATGCACTAAAAGTCCCAATGACATACTCTACCTATGATCGAATGCACGCCGATAGCAGACGTGGGAACCATGTGAACTTAAAGCAACCAAGGAAAAGCCTAAGCCAGCCGAAATTTCTCTTAGCTATGGTCAAATCCCTGGAGTAACAGATCGAACGACTTGAGTTTTACTGAACTGCGATAGACAGGTCTGTCTCGCACGAGGCGAGTAGCAGTTACCGATTTGCAAATAAATACGGGAATTGAATTTTGGGCGTAAGGATAAGAATTTGTATTTCGAAAAACTGAATTCAATTTCTTTCTCCAAAGATCATTGATTAGCTGCGTTGAGTTATTCCTGGACTGCAAGAGAGCCCTCAATTTGTGTTACTCTGTTCTGGGTTTCGGGCCGAGAACATTCGACAGATGATTTGTGAATTTAAGGAGCATGCGGTGACCAAGTACTTATCCTGTGACCAGAGGTGAGCAGGAGCCGCAAACCCGCACACCGGCTCCAATAAATGACAGAAGCCCCGTTTGCACATTCAAGACCATCAGTGAGTAAGAACAATTTTTATACAAAGATTTTACATTTCAATTGAGAGTTTTCCACAAACTCCTTATGGATATGCACATAAACGAATCCATTATCTCCGATGCTTATATTCACCCAATAGCTGTGAAGAATCATGGTTATAGGGACACAGACTACGATTACCGGGAGAAGTATCACCGCTAAAGCACTCAATGTAGCATGGTGTTTGGTTATCAAAAGCAGTCCATCTATCGCGGGTCAGACAGTGAAGCGTTTCTTGAAACAACCTGTGCCACTGCATTCGCAAACTGCACCAACCGAGATTACCACATAAAAAGGTTGATTGCTCGATGTTTCAACAACTCCGAGGATATGAATGTCCTCCTCAAAGGATTAGAAGTTACCGGTGCGCAGATTATCAAGAGACGCAGTGTGCATTTTATGGTCCACGCGGTGTGTTGAAAACAATAAAGAGAGTGGCAAGAGATAAGATCACTCGAATCGCTTCAAGCTTTAGGACAAAACCGATTGCGGTGGTGCTGAAGAATGACGGTAAAACGTTAAGAATTCTCCGGGATCATCAGTTGGAAGTCCGTTCGCGGTTGAGGAAATGTGCAGGTATCTCTTAGGAACCGGAGGATTTCAGAAACATTGCATGTCAATATGTTTCTACAACGTCAACTTAGCGGATGCCCTCCTCTATATTCCCTTGATCCTTGAGCGCAATGTTCGCTACGATCAAGAATCTGTGGGGATTATGCCCACCGGTAAAAGGTTTTTGGGTCTGCTGAAACGAAGAATCAACACGATGGCCCTCTTCTCACATGTTTGGAAAGGTGTGTGTCCAAGTGGACGTTTCTGCGCCAACAACTGATTATTTCAATTGCAAAATGGATGAAACATAGTCGCCTGAAATTTCGACATCCGTATCAGTACAAGAAACACTGAAAATTTGTGCCATTCCTCATTACTCTGTGATCGGTAACGACGAAAACCTGTTGAGGTAAGAAAAGTAACCGCTTATTAGTATTTCCCAGTATCAAAATTCAAGTATGACTTTGTCTTCTGATTGATATACAGTCATTGAGAGACCAGCACCGTTTCAGAACTATTACACAGTGTGTACGATACTCAAACTTGGCCGCCAAATCTTCATCCCTGTTCATGGATCAGTTAACATTTGGATGGACGCGGAAGAATCAAAGTGGGCAGAAACTTCATGACATCATCCAGATTAGGTCATGATGAGCACCCGGTTCAAGGAACATTTTCATCGTCGAAACTTCTACCGCTGATAACGGGGGTGTGCAGTCTCAGCAATAAAGCACTACTGGAGCAATGGTTTGAGACTCCTTTTTCCGGAATGCGGTTGAAAGTGGATAATCTCAGACNACGTACTGGGTAGGTTGGCGGGTATAGAAATTACCTATTTGGACAGCGACAAATGAGCGTGACCTTCTGCCGATTACCATAAAATATTTCCAGTCCCAAAAGTTAATCACGAAACCGGAGTAAACATCATCCAAAGGCTGAATATAGCTATGGCTGCAAATGATTATGACATTGTGCATCAACCAAGCAGAGCAACCATTTAGGCCAATTTATTGGCTGTTTATTGACCACTACAGTCATACGCCGGTTCTCATCGATTCCTGCTCGAAGAGCCCGGTCATATTTACTTCAAACACGCTGATCACAGTTCCTAAAATGGGCCCTATGAAAGAGCTTCAGACGAGGGCACTTCGCGGGTTCTGGTAGCAAAAGACGGATCCCAGTTCTGTGCGGTGGATACAAAGAAGCAGCAGGATAGCACTGACTGCTGCAATTTACAAAATGCGCCAGGCTGTCTCTACTCGAAAGACCCGTCTGAGAATTTAGTGTAGACAGTGAAACATAATGTTGGATCAGTCAACCCGAAGTTGGATATACATTGGAACAAATTCCTGTCCCAGATAACACTACCATAAAAGGGAGCCCAACCAGTAAAGAATTGAAAACATAATGATAAATAAATCTGGGCATCAGAAATTCACTTCATGAATGGAACTGAGGAATTTTCGGCGCGGCGACTAATCAACATCAATTAGGCAGAATGACATTGCATTATATTCAAGCTAAAGAAAGTTACAAACAAACTTTGAACCAAGAAGAAAACCATTGAAATACCGGGTATGAGCAGGAAAACGGAAACTAAAGAAACACTAATCAAATGTTGCGTGAAATATAGTTGCAAACGAGTTTTCACTTCGGTGTGGCCTTGTGGCTCCGCCGGTATTGCGTGGGCTATACGAAAGCAAATGCGGCATCCATGAGCGGAACCCACGCATTAAGTTCTTTGCTGGTTATGATCTTTCGTGAGTGTGGCTAAAGTGTAGTGATTGTGCACGGCTAAAGAAAAGCAACTGAAAACGGAGTTCAGTGGTGCAGGGTTCTATAAAAGAGACTCTATGTAACAAACACAGCAAAAAGCCAAAAATTTGGCCTAAAAATGAGTTGTAAAAAGCACATCACTGCGTATTCAGCTTCATCCAAAGGCCGCGATGCCCCCTGGAGTCAATCATGAAGAGAAAGACGAATATTGAGAAAGACGAATATTTATTGAAATATTTGTCAAATCCAATCTGATATTCTAGGGTTTGAGGCCTAACAACTGTTCTGTAGACCTGGTCATGAATGTATACAGCTTAAGTTTTTCAAAAGTCAGAAGCAATTGAGCGTAATATGTTAGTTCATTCGATTTACCGTTTACTGAGGTCGAAAATTCGCGTCTTTCCCAACGATGTCAGACAGAGTAGGAAAGTCCCACACTGAGCAGTTCGCACAACGGTTCCTTCACTTTCACCGAAATTGATTAACTGTTTCACTGTTCCCTGTTGAAATGTACATGTGAAAAAACTATTCGATAAGCTAAGGAACTATTCGCAATATTGAGTAATTTAGTCTTCAAGTTCACATTCATAATAATCTCTTGAAGGTTTATAATGTAAATTATCTAAGTTTAAAACAATTTGGTCTTTGAGAATATCAGCAACCAGATGTGCTCAGTTCAACTGGTCCCACTCATGTACCGAATTAATCTAGTGAGACCGTCCAAGATAACAATAACCATGACATTGAATCAGATCCCATTCGGTTTATAGGCCAGGATCGTCTTTAACGTTTAGCTCACAATTAATTGTGAGCAATAATATGATAAAAGCACCATTATTCACTTGTTACAACCATCCATCAGCGTTCATCTGGATGCGCATTTCTTTGTTCCGTCAGTCCACCATACACTCTAGAAGCACCCAAATATGGTTTCGCCTCCATAGGAGCACATTGGTTGTGCATACAGTTCACGCTGTCGAGAGATTTTCACCCTGGCACAGAAAACCATGCACTAAATTGTCACAAAGGGATGCTGATGAAAATAAATAGCAGTTCATAGGAGGCATAAAATCTATAGTATTGAGTTTAGCTAATATTATAAGCTTTCAATCAACCACCTAGTAGCTGATTTAGTCTTCTGTTTCTGATCTTCCTCTAAGGTTCTCTGTTCGGTATTCATTTTAAAATGGCTATGCGCGGTTGGCGTTACTTTAATTCACACTTTGTTCCGTAGATCACCACGCACTACGTTTGAAGCAGTTCTAAAACGTCCCCAACTAAGTGTGGAGTTTTACGCTGTTTACTGAAAAATTGTGTGGGAAAATATAAACCCTATAGTGCGTGCAATGCATATATGTGTACATAGTAGATGTCCTATTGATGCGATTATTGTAAGTGACAGGGTACAACCCCCCAGGGCATTTATTTTTGTGGTCGTATAGACGCATAATCAATTAAATTCGCTGAAGTATCTTCCGATCTAAGTATAATTTTAGAAATTCCGCATTCATACGCTTTGAATGTTTTTTCGACGTATGCAGTTGAACGTAACGAATGATATTACTGAAAACCGTCAAATTTATCATGAATGAGAACCAACTCACTTGAAGTGAACGAACTTGCAACTTGAATGGCTCCACGGTGAACAGATTCTGATCGTGCATTCCCACCAGGCGAAACTCACACGGAAAACTGGCTGAAATGTGTACACATAATTCGGTCAGAGTGAGAATGATCATTAATGTCTCGTTTATGCGGAGATTCACAAGAAACCAAATGTCACCTGTTATCTGAGAGAATCAAGTCCATAGCCAACCAGTGTAACAAGTTGATTATCCTCTTATTTCAATTTTAAATGATATAAATCTTAATATTCATACTAGACAAGTTGACAGCTGTTGGACAAAAATATATTTTCATGGTCTTTTTTAATGACTCTGGACATTTTTCTCATAACTACACTCATGATAAAAATTCCATCATCAGACAAAAAATAACCCGTGGTATTTGAAATACGAGCGTCTAAGAGCAGGTTTGCGAGTATCATGCGTAAAAAGATCATCCTAAAGCAAGGTTGTTCAAAAATGGACATCGACTTTCAGTGAATTTCAAGAAGAGAAGTCTTCATTTTCAAATAATCAAAATTCCTAAGAACCCCAGTCAACCGCTCAACCCCTCCCTATCTGCCTGCCATTCCCACGCTACAACCCGATCCGGTTATTGCTGTTTCTCTCCCCGCACAAACATTTTTTGTAATGTAATGTTATCGTTTGACGGTTCTAATTTTTTATCCCATTTTTGTGATGAACAAAAAAACTTTTGACTGAAATGAAGGTATATTTGCTTGCACACGTCATTACGGTACACTACTATACAACAAAATTGCTGCGTTTGGCGATGCGGTAAAATCATACCATAAACCCCTTTCCCCGGTGGATTTATCATACAAATTTGTATACAGAACTCTAAGGTTCAATAATTATTGCACATTAGTACCTGGTTTATTTGACGAAAGTAGGAGATGCCTTTTGGTATTACAGAGCCTAAAAATATAATTATAATACCCATACAGCGTTAATAGATAGCTGCTTTTCTTTGTCATGGAAAACAACATAAATGTGAGCAGAATTGATAGTTGCCAGCAATTTCGCGTGCTATCGTTCGGTTGTAGACGCATATCTATAGGTGCATATATATATTTATATATGCATATACATATATATATATTTATATATATATATATATTTGAAACCGACACATATAAAACAAAGAAACAGGAGTTGATTTGAAGAAGCTGATAGACAGGTGGGTTGTGTGATTTGGGTTTGGCTGTGTTAAGGTCAAGTTAGATGACACATATTGATGATACGCACACTATGGTGAACGTGGTATCAAGCGTGATGTAACGAATATCACGGAAGCTACAGTTGCGTCACAAATGTTTTAGAACAAATAAATATGGTTTCAAGGAAGGCATATTAATCGCTTCTAAAAATCGTTAAGTCCATGAACTTACAGGTCTCGTAATGACTCGAAACACTTTTAGTGCGTATACCTAATGATCGAAGTCTAACAAATGCCCAGAAATTACACTTGATAGTAGTTTCCCCGCCAATACCGAGACGGTTTGGAACGTTTTCGCATTTTCTGGTTGATAGATCACGTTCTGACCTTCCGATATAACTCTGACCAATGAGGGTGAAGCGAACACTAACGTCTGCTCTAGCCATATTAGTGCAGGTGATACAACGAAATGTCCCACAGACAATCATTCATCTGGCGGCTTACCTTCTTTCTTTTTTGTTACAGCTAATATGCAGCGCAAAAATAAGCTGAAAACATACACTTTCACCTTCCCTATATCGCAGAGGAAGTGTTATGCACGAATTGGGTATTAACAATCATGTGCTTATCTGTATAGATCGGAAACGCGAAGACGGGAATAAAATTAAAATTGTTGACAGGAGAACCAAGCAATTAAGCTCAACATTACTGGAGCTCACGAGGAGGGTCTCTGGTGGCATGATTTCAATCGCAAAACAGAAAATACGCCTTGGTGTGAGCCGAATAGGTCAACTTAATGATAAGTGATTTTGATTAGGTGAAGGTGAGCCGAATTCTGCGTTCGGTTCACTTGATATGTATGTAGTTTTCCCTCCGTTTAAAACTACTCTCTCTGTTTAAACAGGAACTCACCAAAATGAACGATACAGTCACCGGTTGCGTGTTTGAAAGTCGAAATACGATTACCATTCCAATAGGACAAATATTCCTGTGAGAAAAGGAGTGTGTCATATTGGAAATTCACTGGATAAATCAATAAAGTACCACTATTAGTGAAATGGAGAACCATATTACTTCTTTTCCAGACACATTCAAATGGATTAATAACTGATTTGTGTTTGATAGTCTCACAATGCAGATTCATCTTCTTGAGAAGATTCGCCGTCCAGCAACTTATTCAAACAAAACTATGCATTGGTAAGGCACATGGAACACACCGCAACACGATTAAGGCTTTCACATCTGTTGAATAAATGTATAAACCCTGCAAATTGCCAATGGAATGGAACAAAACAGACACAAAACCCAATAAAGTTGGATTATAAAGCTAGCAGGTTCAATAAGGGAACACGAATAACGGTATGTAAAAGGGGCAATTAAATGAAACCCCAAATACGGAATAACATAACGTGAATACGTTTCACAAAAATACTGCAAGCATGCTTTGGAAGGGAATCAGTTATTCTCAGTTTAAACAACCAATAAATTCTGCAACTTCGTGCGGCAGCATTAGTTGCCGTCATTCACGGACCCAATTGAGTAAAGGAATACCAAGCTCCAGTGTTTAGAGCATAGTTATATCACACAATGTTTCTAACCATTGGTTAAACTGATCAAGTGATCCCTATCCAGGAAGCTCGACGCCACCTATTGGACTGGGTCTTCTGATCATTTTTCTAACACCCTTACTCTTCCATCGAAATAGCAAGCGTTAAGGAGATTCCGAATGATCACACAGAATATATGACGAATAAACCACAAATTATTTGCAGTGTGATGCATTGTTATAATTACTAATCACTGAAAAAACACTTGTGCCGCTCTGTGTTGATCAGTATAAAAAATCCCAATATCAGAGAATGTAATCAGAAAACATTCATATTTCAATCTTCCCCGTTATCGGTTTAGCTCGGAAGAGCGCTTCGTAGTAAAATCAACGTTATAAGCTGAACATCGTTGCTTTCACCTATCTTTTCATTCATGATAAAGTACTAATTGTGGGAGTGAAGAGACTCACTGGTGTACAATACAGAGCTCTAATCTGGTCTTCCACTTGAGCCTCGTGCTCTCTGATCAACGGAACTGGATGATTCTCATCTTGGAGTGAAGTGATTTTCCGATTTCCCATTCCTGGACGTAAAGCAGTAGACGTCACAATGAAGGAAGCCGGAAGGTTGGTGTTGGTCGGTATTGACAACGGGTTGAGACTTTCCGTTACTGGTTCGGCGTCCGATTTGACTGCAGTCCCCGTTTTCCCCGGCTGAACGGTGGTTAGCATAGCCAACGATCGGGGTCCAGTTTGAACCACAGCACAACCAGAACCTCCGAACCCACCGCACAGAGGCTGACGCTCCAGAAGATAGGCGGCACACTTCATGTTTAACCCTAAAATCGGTCATTATAGAGGATTCAATATTGATATCAGACTTCGAAATTCAAAAATCCTTCTAACAACTACCATTGATAACACTCGAAGAATTGGTGGTTCATTATACTCCTTAGTTTTCATGCCATATTATCGGTAAAGGAAGCATGGTTCGTGCCAATTTCCCGTAATTTAACAGACTAGATCAAATGTATCGTCGGTTAGAAGACTTTTCAGAGAACTGCACAGATTCGATAATTGTCGTGCAGTAGGTAAAAAAATAGAATAGCTAATTCGTTATCTTAAATCGTTTTTGCATTGTGCTATAGCACAATCAAGTCAGGTCAGGAAACGCTTTATGCACCCGAGGGGTGAATTCTCAGCAATTAACGAACTTGTATATTGGATGTATAATATAAGAAATTCTATACTGTAACATATGAGAAAAATAAATGCAAGAGTTTTCCCCTGAGGTGAGTGACAATTGTCTTGCGATTAACCAACAACGGAGAAGGGTGTGGAATTATACTGTTTCTATATATGGAAGTACGCGAGGAAAGAAATTGATATTTGAAGTAAGCTCGGGGATTGAACATGGTTTTCACAATTTCTCAGTGCAGACAGTGCCCTTGATCACGTGTAATCCCGTCAATAAAGTTAAAAGGATCTAGAAAACAAAAGAAATCTTTTTCTTTCAGTCAAGGCATAAATATTGTGGAGCAGTGTAACGATTGTAGAAGGATGCAGGCAATCATAAATTTAATAATATTTTGTGGGACGGGCAGTTTACCGAGCCTGTATGCGCAAAAAGACAGTTTTCGAACTTTTGTAAAAACACTGAAAACATGAGTAGACCGGGACAGGCTATGGGTGAGGGTGATACCAAGGTATATAACAGAAACAGATTTCGGGATTCTTTGATTAATTACTATGATATCCGGGAGATTAATTGCCAGTGAAAGATAAGGGAGACCAGTTTTAAGACTAAATGGAACGTCAATGCACTTACTGATGTTAAGTACAAGGGATCAGGGCACAGAACAATCGTGAAATTTATTAAGGCTGTCCTGGTAAGACCGAAAGCTGCCTGAACTACGGGAAGAGTAACCAATCCCAATATCATCAGTTCAGTTTCAGTTTTTCCACAATCGTTAATCATGTATTTCCATGCGTCGGTTTTGGTTGCTATCTTTCGGCAGCCCATTTGGATTTTAGACTACAAATGAAAATTGAAAAGTTGAGAACAGATCCAAAGAGACGGTGAAGAATTCATATTTGCAAGCAATAAGTTACTGGGCTTGGGGATATTTTGGATGTACATCAAAAAAGAAAAGGGGACAAAATAATATCCTGTTCAACACCAGAGTCAATGTTAGTAGAAAACGATTGTGTGTCATTAAATAAAGTAAACTGGATCCTACAGGAAAGGGAGTCGAAAGAACATTCAAGACTCCAGGTGCCAGACCACACTCAGGTAGATGTCCAATAAGTTCACTTCGATCGAAAGAAGCAAAGGCGTTAGCCTAATCAAGAAAATCCAAACGAGCGTTACCTACACCTTTGTCTAACACGGATGCAACAGAGTGAACCACTTGGATAACAGCATCCAGTAGGGACGGATGGGATTTATGGACAAAGTGTAAAGGCTCATGTGAGTGACAATGGGGTATCACGCGGTGCATGTTTGAAAATCACTTATTGATACATACAGATAAGTATCTATTTTGACTTAGAAATCAATGATAGTAAAGTATTGCACAAATCATGAAACCGATGCGAAATAATTTATGACCAGATATAGGTGCGTTTCAGTGAAAACAGTTACTGTATATATTTCACACGCATCTGATTCCAGACCTTGTGCCAGACTAATCGCAATACAATACTCTATATACCAAGGGGAAAGGTTCATACTTTGCAAGTGGAAGGAAAATTGCCAACTTGCCCAGAATAAAGTACATTTTAGATAGTCTATGTTTGTATTAGCCCATTCGGTTTCTCACAGGTACCAGGTACTGTTGATGATGTTGGTTGTGGATTTCACTCCTTGGGAGTTGAGTAATTCCCCACAATTTGAATGCATTTACATGCAGTGAAATGTTTACCGACAAAGAGCACTGGACAGCTATTCCGTCCTGAATGGGACTCGTCAGAAGTGCGTACCTTTTGTGTCCCTGTCAGGACTCGAACCATAAACATTTGGGTCGGGACTTAAAACCCTTACCCCTGAGCTAAACGGCCGAGGGGAGAAACCCACATCGAACATCATCGACAGTGCCTGGTACCTGTGAGGAACAGAATGGGCTAATCCAAACATTGGCCATCTAAATTGATTAAGCCATTCGCATAAGGTGATAATAGCCGACCGTGTAGTTCAGGGGTAAGGATTTTAAGTCCCGACCCAAATGTTCGCGGTTCGAGTCCTGACAGGCACACACAAAGTACGCACTGTAGACGAGTCCCAAATAGGACGGAATAGCTGTCCAGTGCTCTTTGTCGGTTATCGCAAACATTTCCACCGCGTTTAAATATGTGACTTTTCTTGAGAATTAACATTCAGAGGCTTCGGTTACTCAAAACTGCCCCACAAGTTAATGGAGCAGTAGTGGGAAACCGTAGTCCACTTGAGACCGATGTCCTGTTCATGTAACCATAAGCCCTTTGCATGGGAGAAAACTTCCAGTGTTCATTATAAATTTTCGCGCCTATATTAACACAACCTGTGAGTGACATTAACTTCTCCGAAAATGAAATGATGTATTTGTATTAGGCTTTGAAGTTATTTTGTAAATAATCAAAGCTCGCAAAATATAAAATAAATAACACATCGTTTCAAAATGAAGAAGCATGAGTTGATCAATTGTGCTGATAAGTGCCAATTAATTGTTCGAAGGTTAGGCTATGAACGGGATCCCGGAGTCACGGTTGCCTGGTCTTTGCAAACTCGTACTCAAGTTGACAGAGTATATTCCTCAGCATGGGACATTCACAATGCGATTGGACGCTTGTTCAGCATGATAACCTACGACAAATTCCAGACATATAGATAACTGACGAGCGTCCATACCCAGAGTCTGGTGGAGCTGCTGCATGCTTATGTTGGGCTACTGAGTTTGTGAACCTGGAAGGAGTGTAATCGGCAACCACTCGCCTTATTATAGGATTACGAGAAGTTAGCAAAAACCGGCACCCGGAAGTGAAGGGATCGGTTCCAGAGGTATATTGAAGTGTTCTGGGTGACATCTGCGTTTGCGGCATCATCCGAAGAGAGATAGGTCCACGGTTACACCCAGAGTTTGAAGATTATTAAGATACAATCGAAATGGACCGCCCCGTCGTAGTCAAGAGACCGAATCGAGAGGCGGAGGCTTTGACTATCGAGTAGAACTCAACACCAGCTGAAATGATGGAAAAGAAACACTTTGAGGTTGTAAAGAGAAAGCTCAGCAAACACCTACTATAACGCTGGAACAACTCTCCCCATTGAGTAGGACACTGGAAAAGCTGGGATAAAGTTCAAATTGAAAGGCTTCCACTAAATCTAATACTAATGACTGAACACTCATAGCACTCAAGGAAGCATTTTACGAGTGTGGCACGATTTGGTGCACACATGAAATACAATGAAGTTCACAACAGGAGAGAGAATGAGTACGTCGATTAATTAGTCCGCTTGAGATAAAAACCAGTATTTTTCTCCAAATGTACAAGGCAATACATGACATTCGTTTTACTTTAGCTTTCCCCTAGTAACGCTAGCCCATGCGTCAGCTGCGGGCCTCATTGGTGCGAAACTCATCAAATTCAATCTTACCGCTGTCTTCTTGATTTCAGGCCCCTTTACGTGGTGGTCAGATTAACCTCATCAAGTATTCGTTTTCTCAAGGTTAAAAAGATGGGTTATTACCACTTTTGCACGCGCTGGACGTCAACTGACTTTCGAACAGTATTTTTTACGCAAGTCTATTGCGTTTACTGATTTTTTTACTATGAAATAAATGATTACGGATTACCAATCACGTTTAAATATATTTATGCATAAAATTAAATTAGTGCAATTCTACGTGCATCCAAATGTGGAAAAATGTTGTTAAAATGATGAAAATTGCAAATTTTTGATATCAACGCCCTTGTGAATACCTTAAAGCGAAACACGAAGCATTCAATCTCCCATGAACGGATGATGCACATAGAGCACAGTTTTCAGTTCACTATATTGATCGAGTGCGAGAATGTTAAATTTGCTGATTCTACTTGATTTACAGCTGTTTAAGGATGAAAAGGCAAGAACGATGAAGGTTAGTGTCACGAGAAAAATGCACTCCACCCATATATTCACGGTATATCTCTCTCAAAGCTGGCAATTAACACTTATTGCTTACAGCGGTTTATCTCGCATCCAGTTTATCGAAACAGTCACCGCCCAACAATTCTAAGGATGCAAGACCTTTCCTAGAACAATTTTGGCCGATCCTGCACACATTCTCTACGCTCACTCGAGGAAATGTATTTCCTGTGGAAGCATATCTTTGAAATTCAGGGATTGATTTGCACAATTATCTACAAAAAGTTCTCTGTTCTATCTGTATCCCATGAAGTTTCTCTCTCAACTTGAACGTATTTCCAGTGAACTAGAAAATCACTCGAAGTAATTATTGCTACGATTATTTTGCTTTTTCTCAGTTTACTGTTTAACCATTTCAGTTATTCATCTTCCGCTGAATATTTATCCCCAGATGGAACGACAAAGAAACTTGAACAGAACTGGACTAAGTGGACCGTTTAAGGGATTCTGCAAATAGAAGTATTTTCACAGAAATACGAAAAACAGTGAAGGATAAAGGAAAACCTTGGAGAGTTGTTTGCGACGGTCCATTAGCGAATTCAATGAATTAAATCAACTCACAGCTGAAGGATACCAGCAAAAATGAGTAAGACATGTTCATATGTCAAATAAGTCAAAAATACATATTCCGGTGACAAATGGTGACAAATCTGTACTAGAATCAAAGACATTTACCATGATTGAACACGGAAGAATCTTGTGCATGACGGGCAGAAACTGCGATAGCCAGTCGATCGTCATCCCCATCCCAAGAGAGCACGTACACATGACGCCCAGTTTCCGGCAATCCGGCTGAGAATTCATCCTCCGTCCGATATGTAAGAATGGCAGTCGGTTGCGGATGCCAGTTATACTCAGGACCCCGTTCCACTTCATTCCTGTCTGGACTCTGAACACCGATTGGCCAGTTCTCGTTCGGATCTTCTTCTGAAGCCTCCGTGAATTCGGTCGTTCCTTGAAGACCATCCCTGGGGTCAGCAANATATGGAATCCGTGTGTAACAAACGATGGAGATTATTCTTGCCTGTCAACTCTGTACCGTATTGCCAAAATGCAACCATTCCGTTATTCAGACCACAAGCGAGAATTTCTAGAGTCGGGGGAAAAAGTGTTAGGTGCATTCAAGAATAATTACATTGAAGAATCTTCGAAAACTAATATCAGCAATTTTGTAAACTTCACTTTGAGAATATTCTTTTAAAGTCAATGCGTAACTGTAAAACAGAAGCTATTCAAAGCGACTAGTACTAAAATAATTCCATATGGGTTGTGATCATGTGCTCGTATTCAGCTTAATCTTTTCCATTGGAATCACCGTGGAAAGCAGCTGTTTCTTATCATCGATAATTGCAAATTGTGCGTACAAAGGATGCACCAGGTACGGTGAAAAGTGATTTCAATATATTTTGACTTAAGGTAAGTATTTAAATGCGATGGAAATGTTTGTGATGACCGACAAAGAGCACTAGACAGGTGTTTCATCCCGTTTGGGGCTTGTCAGCAGTGCGTACCTTTCGTGTCCCTGTCAGGACTCGAACCACGAACCTTCAGATCGGGACTTCAACCCCTTAACTCTGAGCTACACGGCCGACGGTTATCACCTTGTGTGAATGGTTCAATCAATTTAGATGGTGGACACTTGGATTATCCTATTCGGCTTTTTTCACAGGTATCAGGCCCTGTTGATGATTTTAGGGAATCTTTGTGATGACCGACAAACCGAATTGGCTAATCCAGATGCCCACCATTTAATTTGATTAAGCGCTTCGCACAAGTTGATGAATCTCGCCCATGTATTCCAGAGGTAGGGGTTTGAAGTCCCGACCAGAAGGTTTGCGGTTCCAGTCCTGATAGGGACACAAAAAGCACGCAATGCTAACGAGTCACAAACAGGACGAAACACCTGTCCAGTGCTCCTCGTTGGTCATCAAAAAAAATTTCATCGCATTCAAATGCAGTCACCTCATGGGGGAATTAACGAGTGGGACCCACACCCAAGATAATCAACAGTGCATGATGCCTTTGAAAAAGGAAAATCAAATGGGCTAATCCAAACATTCACAGTCTAAATTAGGATAAGTACTCTAAACTTCATCCATTTTTGTATAGGATGGTTGTGCGAGAATAAGACAAGAGATGAGGGATAGGTTTTAGAAAATGTATTGCTTGTGAAACACTGATTCTAAAGAAATAGTGATTGAGGTATTTACTCCGTGTCCCAAACCAATGTGCGAAATGCTTTTAACCACATTTCGTTTTCCTCAAATCTCCCGGTAACCATATCATTTTATTGAACCAATTCCGTAAAATGATAGCTTATTTAAGTATGGAAAAACAGGGGCAACATATTAATGAACTTTCTCGACTAAATTATCCCTGAGGATGCGAAACGTTATCAACCCCACTCGGAGTGCCATAGTTACAGCGAGCTCGGTAGCCGACTGCGGTCCAGTTAGACAATAGTGAGCAATACTCATGTTTCATACAGCGGTAGGCAGCTTCGCCGTTTTCCGGTTCAACGACAGGCCTAACCCAGTGGAGCTTTATGTGGTTCGTTAATCTAAGTCCCGGTTACCGGTTTCGATCACTAAACTGCGACCTTCGGGACTATGGGATCCACCTCGTCTGCTTTTCATCACACAATACATATACTTTACTCGAATTATAGACAATTACCCCTAGTTCGTGAAGCAGTCTCGAATTTTAGATGTTCCACAGCCTAATCAAAATATGCCTGACAGATTAGTTCCGGTCCAGAATCAAAAAAGTCGGTGTGTTTTTATTCATTTAGGTGTTTTCATCATTATTATGTAATCTTTTCAGCATCACACCAAATTTGGTTACTGGTAAACTGCAAAAAAACAGGAGGAACAGGAGTAATATAATTTCGCCCACTATAATTTAACATCCAGTACAAGGCTCAAGTTTAAGTAGAGACTATCAATTGTTAAGAACTTGGTTCTAGTATTGCCCATAGCAAAATGGACGTTATTCGGTGTACAAGCTTTCCGAGACTGGGAAGCTGCGTGTGTCTGAAAATTATCAGTAGAGTGCTAACAACAAATCTTACAGCTAATATGACATAAATTACTCATCAGCAAATGGTCGACCTACATATATTACGTTGGTTGGGGCATGTGTTACGCATATCACCAAATAGGTTGCCACGGCGAGCGATGTTCTCCGAGGCAGGTAGTGGGTGGAATAAAGTCAAGGGTGGCCAAGCCAAGACCTGGCACGAGGGTATGAAAACCCTGACCAAGAGACTGGGTCCCGTTGGATCCGTTAGGCTTTCTGGCTTGGGACCTCGAGAAGATCGTAACCGATGGTTGGAGACACTGAATGATATGGCTGGGTGTCGTAAACAGTGGCGTTTTTGCAACTCAATTTCCTTGCAGCCGTAGTTTACTGGAGTTCTCAATTTTCTCTTCAACTCTAACTTCGACTTTCCTGTTCTTCTCCTATTATTAATCCAAATGGGCAGCCAGAAGACAGCAACCAAAACCGGAGCAGGAAAGTGGATGGTCAATGGTTGTTCAAACTGAAACTGAACTGAACTCATCAGTTATCTAGAAGAAGGTTAATCTAGTCAGTGTTCAAACCATCCCCAATTTTGCATTACATCGCTGCAGATAAAACACTGATGTTGACTCACGATGCCTATAGGAATAAGCAACTTTTATTGCCTTGACTGCTTTCTCTGACGTTTCGCATTCTGACACATTTGGTTCCAGTGTATAATTGTCGGCTCTTTCCACATCCCACAGACGTATGACTGATTCGCCCAGTGCCATTGCCAATACACTTTGTCCTGCCCATGTAATTGAAGGACGACCGGTGAAGTTGACCGCAAGTTTCATCTTATTATGAAGTGAAAGGAATGATGGAGACAGTCACTCAACGTTAGACATAATGAGATATCGATTTGTACTGGAAACGCAAATATTTCATCCAAAAAGGACTAAAAGGTTTATGGCGTTAAGCGTGATGAACATTGAAAAATTTCTAGTTTCGTCGAACGAATTGTAAAAATTAAAAAATTAATTACATATGCACCGAAAGAAGTAAAACAGGCAACTTCAGGGGGCCCGAGTAGTTGTGTAGTTAAATTCATCCGACGGTACTATTTCAAACTCGACTATTACAGGAGGAATTAGTGAAGTTTTTGAATAATTTTAATAAAACTCAAGTCAAATCAGTCAAGTATATGCTTTATGCACCTTGAAAGATGAATATTTAGCAGTCGAAAAGAACGACTCTACCGTATCAAGTAAATGAACGAAATTTAGTTTGATTTAGAAGTATACGGAGAATTGTACTCTTATCCACTTTTGAATATCATTAGTAGTGCCAACTCTTCAACTATACTGAGAATCGTAACCGGGACCAACTTGTACCTGGATAAACTCACTCACTTTATTTATAAACGTGACAGTAAAACGCTCAACCTTAGAGTGAACCATTAACCGATAACCAGTTACATAGTACTTTCCAAATACTATCACTTAGAATTCCACTACTACTACATCCTCAACAGCAGACGTGCATCAACCCATTGTGAGTTTTACACCAGCAGGGTTCACCCAGCACTAGTTGTCGCTCACTTATCTTGTTCTCCCTCCTTCTTTGGGGATTTCTTTGTTTTGCGCCGTTAAACAAACCTGGTATCTGATACTTTGTACGGTAGACCACACTAGCTTGATCTGTGTCTCCGCTCAACAGGAACTAAGAAGGATTTCGTTTCCCACCACATTCCAGTGATGTACCTGCTTTTAGCCGCTTGTCAACCGATTGCGTTCCTTTTTGCTTAAATTTTGCGTACTCCGTCATTTAGTGGAGTGATTTAAGTACAACATAAACGCAGAAATTTAAAGTTTAGTTCAAATTAACAAAAACTTTACGGAGCACGAGAAGTTCACATACAAATAAAGGCTTGAAGAGATTGGTTTTATTTCATAAATTAGATCATGTTCATCAGCTATAATGTAGTGTATTTGCAAGGTTCCGAGATCGGTTCTCAAAAGAGTGGACGGATTTATTTCCTTCAAATGGACTCATGACTATTCGATTAGTTCATCAAAAACATCTTACTTCAAATTTCCTTCCATCCTAAACAGGAACAATTCCGATAATATCAACAGTGCATCTCAACCCTCTGATTTGCAAGAAAAATTCATTTGAGCTAACTGGCTAAGGGGCTTGCGGTTTCTGTTGTAATCGCTTTAGTATTCTGCAAACGTGAGGAAAACGCAAGGGTGGGAAAGTAGTAAAGTTAACGGACAAGTATTTCACTTAGGAAACTAGAATGTTGTACAGCATAAAGTGCTAAACACAGTTTTACTGGTTATTATGCGAGTACCAACGGCTTGTCGCTGTAAACCTTTGATTGCTGTAATAGCCAAAGGATTTCCTATAGATAATCATTATGGTAACAATATGTTGCCGTACTGCTTTTCAACGGTAGATGCTATCAGCGTGATTTTAGCTCTTAAATGCATTCACCATCAAGTGAAGCTTTGCTGTTTGTCTATCACTACATCCAAGCATCTGGAGATTCATGATCAAGAGATATTTTAAGTTTTACACTCATTTTCGTTTCGTGCAAAATAGTGTATTTAGAGTTAGATACCATCCAGAAGGAAGCAACAATGTTATTTCTTTAGTGCAGCATCTACGTTTGGGTGTATGCAATAAATCTTTGATCAATGCGAGATTTTTGCTGTGGGTTTTGAAAGTTAGTCACAGAAAATGCTAAAACCGTTCAGTGTTTGGATATCAATTTCTCCAGAGCACAACACAAATCTGGTAAGATAATTAGAACATCGGTGTCAAAGTCTGACGAAAACAAAGATGCGTGTTCGAATCCCACTATCACTGCCCAACTTTTGATGGTAATTTTATTAGTGGCCGCTTCCTTCTTCTCGAAAATTGCCACTGAATATTCAAAAAAGGATAAGATAAAATGGACATTGCATTCTGCCGTAAAATGCACGAAGACTCTAAACGTTCTAGGAATTTTCGATCTCCCACGAATGTGAATGTACTTCCCAGTATTCAGTTGTGATGACGCGACGGTAATTACGATAACCAAAACAGTACTCAAAGCCGAATAATGAAAACTCAGATTTCGATTGAAAAATCATTGAATACCTCTGAAGACAAATAGATTCAAGACGAGCATTACACCCATTCAATTCTGCTTAAAAAACATGAAAATGAATTTTGTGCGTATCAGTAACACGGTTTTTTTTTGCTGCCTAACCACCACTGCTATAACCCACGTGTGAGCTTTCCAGTAATCAGCCAACCCACTTGCACGTGTTAGGGTTCAGCAGATTAGCTGGGATGGTCTTGTCCTGGTTGACTATCTGGAAACTGTGAAACTGAATACATAGCATCCTCCGATTTTTCTGTGCAATCAGCACAGCTCCTTAAGCTGACCAGGTGCCGATAGTTCAACACAGTTTAGTTAGATTGCCATAAATAAACAGCGAATGCTAATTATTTTTGTGTTTAAACACTATTCATTTATATTCATAGATTAGGTTTTTTGGACTATATTCTGCCTAGTACCACTGAATTCGAGAAGACTTGATTTTGGCAAAACTCAAAGCAACCATACGGGCCGCTGCTCACCTTGTCGAAAAATAAGCACCTTAGGGAACATTGTTTCCAGTTACTGATTTTAAATGTCGACTGGAATGCCGGTGTCAATATTTTGTAGTCATTACTTTGCACATCCTTCCATCTCATGTTGTTTGCGCGCCAACTGTTGAGTCTTTCACGCGAATGCTCGATTAAACCATGGTGCACCTCATATTCCTACACAACTAAAATACGCAAATTCGTTGACAACTACATTAGCTCCTATCCCCTATCCAGAATTATTTTTTCGCCGAGGAACGATTCAAGTGTGTAAATATCCTATGGGTAAGAGAAACATGAGCTTGCAAGTAATGCTCATAATAAAACTTTGACTTCACGTGGAAACGTTCAGTGTGATCTCTCTTGCTCCAGTAGAACACACCTTTTTTACACTATTCACACTGACGAAGACGGTAGCCTTACTGAGTTGCTCATGGTTTTTTATCATCAGCGTTCAAAAGTGTTTAACTTGATACATGCACAATATTTGCTATTAGTTAAATTCTTAAATGAGTGTGTAATAAATTTAATTCTGAAAATTCATAGAAATTACGGTTCAAATTTAAGACTAATCCTCTAAAACAGTAAGCACAACAACCATTAACTGAAAGGAAATATAAGAGCTCATTGGTTAACAGTTTAAATTTCGTATAGGTTCACAAATAAAACCTAAGCTAAATAAAATAACTTTTTTGTTTTCAAGTAAAAAGCAGCATTCTCTGCATTTCTGAGACGTAAAATAGAAGTGGTATTGCCTTGTCCACAGCTCATGTAGAATTATATTCTTTCCATCAGGTTTGATGCATGGAGTCACTTAGTTTGCATTTACAAACCGTATTCCGGCTGTGCTCATTTAACTGTGGCAATAAACTATTTCTGGACTATTTTTAAATACAAATAAACTGAGTACACTTTCAATTAATACAGTTAAGCAAATCTTATCCGCACATCACTTTTATGAAGGATTTTAAAAATACGTACTGCGTAACTTTCCATCATTTTATACCGTTTACTATATTTCACGCCATACTGAAAAAACTCCGCCATTGTTTTGATTGCAGTTCATCTAAACTCTTTCCAACTATATTCTTCAAATTTTCTTGATATGTCGCTGGAATCTATCAAAAATTTTGTTTTCTAAGAACTCATCAACCTTTTTCTGAGGTACCGACATCAAAACTAATGATGGTTTGTGTCACTTGACTCTTTACATCCAAACTCGAAAGCAAGTCTCAAAGCTTCTAAGGTTATCCAACAGAAAATTCAAATTTCAATTAATTAAGGGCTTTCCATCGAAGCCAAATTGGAAACCGCTGATCAATATCTTAGTCGAAAACCGTAAACGTATCATTTGACATATTTAGGATGAAAGTATGCTCGTGATCTGACAAGCAATCACTAGACCACAGTAGGTCTAGTGGTGGTCACAGGAAGCAAACTATGCATGATTTAAAATTGAAGGCGGCCCTTTACCGATGCAGGGAGAAGTCGGAGGTAAAAACCAGTCATGTTGCTTTGCCTCATGATTTATCCGAAAATGAACTCACCTGAATGCACCTCACTAAAATGGTTGTCCTAGAATGTGATTGGAACCGTTTGTTTTGCAGATCGCTTTGCACAAGGATTATTTTTTATCGGTAACCCGGATGAGACAAAACACCTTTTCGGACAGACAACAGAAGCAGGTTTCATCTCTAATGCACGTTAAGATAACTAGATATTCCAGAATATGCCAATGACAAAAGAACGCACGCTCAGAGGCGAAGAATTGTTTTAATTGAATAATCTTCTGGCCTATACAGATCATTTCAGTAAATGGCATGCTCAAAGAGGATAGACATTCATAGACATACATAAACATTCATTGCATGACTGAATGTATCTTTTCGTCCAACATGCCACTTCCTTATATGATGTATACAGGCTAGAATGAGAATCGATGAAAAAAAGTTTTCTGTCTCTCAACGCGTGTTCTCATAACCAGATATAACAACTCCTTCGTAGTTTTCCGCTGAGATCGTGTCGCATTACGAGTAGCGTTTTGTCATTCTTAAAAACGGCCCAGATTATTCTTGTCTTATATTGATGCCATATACATTTGTATGTGTTTCAAGTAGCCAAAATAGATGACGTCGCAACATGACCTGTCAGACTGAAACATTCCAAGCGGTGGAACGTAGAGTACTTCTGGAAAGTTACAAAGTACTTCCTGGTATCGCAACACGTTTTTCTCCCTCTTTTCAGAAAGATCATTTAAAAAGCTTATTGATAAATCTTATAGGAACATTTTACTCCTGTTCGATTGCCGATGTTTATGCGCTTGAATGGCCAACCAAATTACATGGACAGTTGAACGCAGACTAACGTGGTCGGATTCAAGGGTTATCACCCGGTAAGTTGGGCAGCTTGTAGATAGACCTGGCATTCTGTCTTACAGAGATGTGTCTGAGCTGGGTTTATTGCGAAATCAAAGGGAGTAGAGATCAGTTGGTGGACTGGTAATAAGAGCGTTTGAAGTTTTTCCTGAGGGAAAGAGGTTGATGTCACAGTCTACGTTAGACAGACGTTGTCTGTTTTGCGAACGACCAAAATGAAGCTCAATGAGCCACGAGAATACACTTTGCTAGAGGACAGCCTACCTCATACAGCACTCCTATTTTCCACCTAAGATCATGACATTAGCTCACTTCGGTTAGCGCAGGCGGTTGATTGGTTTTGGTAAATGACCTTTCCTCTGCATTTGAACTACAACCCTTCTATCAAAAGCTCTCTTAGAATGCTACTTTACTGCCCCCAAACTGCAGATTTGACACACTTTCCCACACTTTTACACTCTTAAAAAGTTTGGTTTTATTATTCTTTAAATTGTCAACTCAAAACACTTGGATTTCAAATCAACCTAGTTTATGAGTAAATTGAAACGCATAATAGCAAAGCACTGTGTTCTTATACCAAATAATTTATTTTCCAATGAGCCAAATTTCTGAAATTGGTTTCTGATGTTTATTCTGGTTGAAAGATACTTATAGTGACAGATCCTTTTCAGATATATACAAAATTAGCACTGTTTAATTTGTAGGAAATTATAAAGCCCTAAACCCTTTGAGTTATGAAATTCTGGTCATTTAATAAGCACAAATTTAGGAACAAACTGGAAGCACAAACTGAAAAGGGAAGAAAAAAAGAAAACCAAAAAGTGAACGCTATTATAGTTGGAAATCTGTGGGTGCGCGCAACTAGACGACAAACAAACATCATTTGGAGTAGCTTAGCTGGATTATAGCTGATGGGTGAGCTGGCGAGATCACGTAAATGTAAGTTTTAAGAACCTATAGAAGCAAAGCTTAGTCTCATCAACGTAAAGTCAAACGGGTGAGTAAGAAAGCATTCATCCCTATTGTAATTACTGCTAAATAATTAAAATTGCAACCAACTTACTTTCGTTCAACATACCTTTGTGATTTCACGAGCCGTTGCACCGTTTGGGGGTGCCAGTTGTTGATGGTATAGAATTCCTTTGCTCGTAATTACAATAAGCATCCCGTTCTTTGGGTGACAAAGCAAATTACAAATACTTCCTTCGCAAGTTGTCAGAGTAGTTATCCGATTAAGCCCCGTCTCAGATGTCATGTTTGTTGAAGAAGCATCACCGGAAATACGCAACACACGACCTTCATTCAAGATAATCTATAAGAAAAGTAAACTAACCATCACAACAGCCTATCAAAAATGTAGAAGATTCACATCCCTCGAATGCAACCGAAGTTAATTCTGAAGATTTTTTAGAGCTCAATATTTCTAAAGCCTTCTCATCTCCTTTAACAGCTGCCTTTGCTAGGGTGGTGATGTCCCTAAAATATAGAATGAATATAATATAGTCCTTACATCTGCTGTGAATCCTCTATCTCCATATGTAGAAGAATTGCGGTTGTTATACTTGAATCGATACTCATCGACGAAACCGGTTTCAGCTGCATGTCTCCCAAAGCTGTGCGACGCCAAAGACAAATTTCCCCATCAGATCCTGTTGAAAGAAGTTTACTTCCTTTTCCAGACCAGGTAAGTGAATTGACATTTTGTTTCATTATTTCCTTAATGTCCACTACATTATTCTCCGAAACATAAACAAAGGATATAAAACCAGTAGACCAGCCGATGGCAAGAACCAAGGAACTCGGATTCCATGCAAGAGATGTTGCAAAATATGGCCGTGATATCGTTATGTTATCGGTTTTATCACCCTGAATGCGAATTCAAATTAGATTTTGACATCAAAACGTTGATTACTTCTAGATTTAAGACCGTGACTTCGCCGGAATCATTTGGATTCTGAGTGGCAACCGCCAAAAGAGAATGATTAGGGTGCCAGCTGAGCTTGAGAACTTCATTAGATATACAACCGATTTTAGTGCTAATGAAAACAGCCATTTCAAATGTTGCGTGTAGTAACCCGAATCTTTTACCTACAGAAAGATTGATTTAAACAAGGTCAGGTCAAGTCAGGTTGCACAGGACAGTAAAGGTTTTCGCCAACTGAACGCCCATATTCTTGCTCCAGCCGTAACAAAAGTACTTCCGGAGCTTCTAATTCTCGTCGACTGTTTGACCACGGCCGATTTATTCCTCCAAACAACCTCCCATTTCGAGTCCTTATCTGCAAAGAGAGGTTATTCAAAAATAAGGAGCATAGAACATCTACTGTGGAAAATACTCACCTTAAAGAATCTTTTGATAGAGGTTGATGCAGACGC